ACGTGGAGGCCTTTTACTTCCTACTCAAATCTACTACACAGCCACAGTGGCCAAAATAGCCTGTTACTGGCACAATGAAAGATACGTAGGTCACTGGAACAGAATTGACAACCCAGAAGAAATCCATCCACATACAGTCAGCTGATCTTTCACAGAGGGCCAAAACACATTAAATGGTGCTGGCAAAAGTAGAAACCTATTTGCAGAAACATGAAACAAGTCCCAAGTCCCATACTATATACAAAAACAAACTCAATATGAATTAAGGCCATAAGTGTAAAACATTTAACTATAAAGATAATCGAAGAAAAAATAGGGACACATTTAAAAACTGTGATACATTGCATAAATACACTAAAAACACACAAACAGCAAATGATAAAATATATGACTGTGACTTTCTAAAAATTAGACACTTATATGCATAAAAAGATTTCACCAAAAGAGTTCAAAGAGAACTCACAACTGAGAAATGATTTTTTTTGCAATGACATATCAGACAAGCGATTAATCTCTAATATTTATAGAAAACTGTAACATTTCTATGAGGAAAAAGACAATTCAATTAAAAAAAGGCAGAGGGCATAAAATGATGCTGCACCAAAGAAGGCATTCAGGAGACCAACAAATATGTGAAGAAATGTTTGTGAAATACCATATGACCCAGCAATCCCTCGACTTGGTATATATCTACAAAAAATAAGAGCAATGATATGAGGAGAGATATGTACACTCACGTTTGCTATTCAGAATAGCAAAAATATGGAGACAATGGATAGGTAAACTTTGCTACATACATACAATGGAATACTATGTTGACAAATAACAATGAATCTGGGAATCATCTCATAACACAGATGAACTTGGAGGACATCATGCTGAGTGAAATTAGTCAATCATAAAAGGACAAATACTGTATGAGTCCTGATGTGGTGTTGTGGGTTAATGTGCTGGACTGCAAGGTTGATTTACAACACAAGGTTGGTGGTTCACCAGCTATTCCTCCGAAATCCTATACAGGGTCACTGTGGGTCGGAACCAACTCGACGACACTTAACAACAGCAACAATTACTATCGTAAAAACTCAAGAAAAGGTTTTGTTGCTAAAACAAACCTTCATGGAAAGATATCAGGGATGGGAGGGGAGCGAGAATAATTCAATGACTAGAGAGCTTGTTGTTGTTGTTAAGTGCCTTTAAGTCAATTTCAACTCATAGCAACCCTGTATAGGGTTTACAATGAACAGCTGGTGGGTTTGAACTACTGACCTGAGATTAGCAGTTCAGTGCTTATTCTACAATGCTACAGGTTAGACACATGTTAACTTGGGTGATTGGAAAGTCAATATACAACAAGAAGGAGGTTGGCCGAAGGATGGTGAAGACACAAGGAGAAATGAAAGGATGAAAGCGGATAGAAGTAAATACTGTCATACACACAATTCTGTAGCAACAGTGTTCTACTGGTAGATAAGGATAGATACACAGGTTAATACACAGGTTGAATAAGTAAGGGAGGGATAGTGGGAGTATAACAACCAATATATAAGGGTCTGACAGAGGATATCTGTATTTTTTTTTTTTTTTTTTTAACCTTTTCTGCAATCACACCCATGATTGTGGTGGAGCATTATTGTTGTTGATGTTGTTGTTAAGTGCCATTGAGTCAGTTCTGACCCATAGCAACCCTGTATAGGGTTTCCGAGGATCGGCTGGTGAGCTTGAACCTCCAATCTTGCAGTTCAAATGACTTTGCAGTCCAGCAAATTAACCCACAGTGCCATACCAGGACTCCATGTGGTGGAGAATACAGGGGGCAAAATTATTTACCAAACATCTTAAGGCAATGAGTTGCTGGGCCTGGGGGCTCAGGACCATAGTCTCAGGGGCTCCCATCATCAATTTGCATAACATAGTCCACAAAGACAATGTTCTACATTCTACTTTGTTGAGTAGCTTCTCAGATCTTAAAAACTCATGATGGATTGTCTAAGGTGCAACTATTGGTCTCTCCATGTGCAGAAGAAAGAAAAAAGAGGAAAATTGAAGATGCTTGGAATCAATTAGTTCAATAGATCAATGGAATGTGTGAACATCAGTCACCATGACTCTGAGACCAGAAGAACTAGATGGTGCCCAAGTACCACTACCAACTGCTGCAAAAGGGATCACGTTAGAAGGTCCCAGATAGAGTGGGAGAAAATGTAGAACAAAACTCAAAATCACACACACACACACACACACACACACACACACACACACACACATATATATATTATAAAGAGACAGAACTTACTGATCAGTAAGAGACTAGAAGAACCTGAGACTATGGCCCTCAGCCACACTTCAGGTATGGAATGGAACTCACCCTTTTGGTTCAGTTTTCAGCCAAGCAGTAAATAGGTATGTAGGGGGGACAACAACACTACTAAGTTATGCTCACCGTGGAATGGTCAACTATTCTTTAAAGGGCCACATTTATCTAATGACAAGGATGAGAAGGGATAGGAAGGGGGGTGGAATGGAACTAGGAACCACAAGGACTAATAGGATAACTGTTATTACATGGAAGGGGTTGCAATCATTCAGATGAAACAAAGTTTATGATTTGTTGACTATAAAACTGATGATCTCTGTTTTATAGAGATCACTCAAATCACAATAAAAAGTTTTAAAAAAAAAGATGAGTGGTTAGATTTTATATAATTATATTTCTTTCTTTCTCTCTTTCTTTTTTTCCTTCTCGCTTTGTTTTTTTAAGGACGAAGATTATTTTGGTGACTTGAGGTGACAATGGGGAGTTGGCATAGAAAATTATTTGAGTTGAGACTTAAAAGATTTGTAGTATTTGAATATTCTTTCTAATATATTATAATTTCACATTGAATTTATATATAGCTTGAATAACTTACAGTAAATATCAAAGACTGCTTGTTCAGAATAAAGTGTGTTCTGGCCAGATGGTCCATAATATGTCACAGAGCAGGTGAATGGCATTTGTATATCAGCCTTGGTTGCCTTGTACTCCAGAGATGAAGTCATGGTATAGAGCTGAGTTACTGGGTCCATATGCTTAGTAAAACTTATGTTCACCACTGAAGAAAAGAAAGAGCATTAATGATAGGATCTTTCATCAGAAATTTTCAGTCCTTAATTTAAAGTCACAGCACCATTGAAAAGTGAGTTTATATTTCTAACTGTTATTTAGCAGGAGTGAAATGGACATGAATGAGGTGGAATTTTTTTTTTTTTAAGACCATGAATCAGAGGCATGGAGAGAATTAGAAACCTGGAATCCTATCTGCCACTCAATTTAAATAATTTATGGAATACACCATGTACAGAAATAATTTTCTCTACTCTTAAATCTACTGCAGAAGTGCTAAGATAGTATTGAAAAAAAAATCACTTATTGACTTAAAAGACTAAACTAACAAAGCATAGTCATGGATCAAGAGAGACCAATACATTTGGACTCAGATGACTCTACGGAATGTTGGAATTTATTATGGATCTCATACCCACCTCCTTCAAGGTGTTGAAGCAACCTTCCATTCTTGTACCATGTAATGTTACTATATGGATAACTGTCTTTTGAAACGCAGTCACCCAACTGCAAAATAAAGAGGAAATGTTACTACCTTGTTTCACACAGTGTTTGACAATTTGGGAAACACAGGGTCCTCAGGGACTGCAGCATTATTACAACAGTTTCTTGACCCATTAGTTTCCAGGCACCAACTAGGGAATGAATGAATGTTCCCTTGTATAAAAATAATTTTTTGTACTTAAAATTGCAGTCTTGCTGATTTTTAAATGTGCGATAAGATCCTGCCACTATTAATAAAATCACATTCATTAAAAAATTATTAAATTCATTTTTAACATTATTCTTATTTACCATTACCTAAATAACACAACTGTACTAATATTGGTTTATTAACAGGGTTCATAGATTTATGTTTGCACAAATTATGAGCAATGATAAAATGCCTTTCCAATTTCAAACTATGTACAAGAGTAAGCAAAAAATATTGCTATTAGGGATCTAGTCCATATATACATGACTTTATTCCAAACAAAATGTGTTTAAACATTTTCTGTAATCAGTGAATGGCTGCAGACTAGTTCTCTCAGTAATATGGTTGTATTAGTTTCAATATGATTTCTTGAGGGGAAAAAAAAGTCTGATCAAATCATTGGCTTCTGAAGGCATACCCTAGGCCATTAAATTCAAGACAGAGAGATCAACTCAGAAAGTTGTGGTGACTGTTTATTGGGATTTCACAGTGGTAATTGTGATAGATTTTCTTGAAGGATGCAGGACGATCATGGGGACTTATTAGGTAGTTTTAAGAAAACTGAAAACTACATTGGTAGGAAAATGGCCAGGCAAGTTGGGCCAAGGAATTTTTTTCCCATTACAGTAATATACCTGCTCATTTTTCCAGGGTAGCAAAGGCTGTCCTGGGAGGATTTTGTATTAAAACAGTATGAAGTTCTTGACAAGTTCAATCTTTTCTCTATTTAGAATAGTGTTGTTTATTGGTCCAGTTGTGAGGATTTTTGTTTTCTTTACATCAAGTTGTAATTATATTGAAGGTTGTATCCTTTGATTTTCATCAGCAAGTATCTCAAATTTAAGCAAGGAAGGTTGTGTCATCTTCTTATCACAGGTTGTTAATGAGTCCTCCTCCAATCCTGAAGCTGCATTCTTCTTCATATAGTCCAGTTTCTTGGCTTGTTTACTCAGCATACAGATTCAACAACTATGATGAAAAGATACAACCCTGATGCATGCCTTTCCTGAAATTTACACCATGTAGTATCCCCTAGTAGAATTAGTACTCTTAGTTTATGTATAGGCTTCACGGGAGCAAAATTCAAAGTTCTAGAACTCCCATTATCCCCAATGCTACCCATAGTTTAAGATCTACACAATCTGATACCTTTGAATAGTATGAAAACACAAACATCTTGTATTCTCTGCTTTCAGCCATGTTCCATCTGACATCAGCAATGATACCCTTGTTTCAAATCTGCTTCTGAATCTGACTTGAAGTTCTGGCAGCTTTCTTTTTTGGTTTGCTGCTGCAACCATTATTTTCATTAAATTTTTACTTGTTCATTAATTTAATATGGTTTGATATATATATTTTTTGCATTCTGTAGGGCCACCTCTGTGGAATGAGCACAAAATGGCTGTCTTCCAGTTGGTTGACAAGGTGGCTGTCTTTCAAATCTCCAACATAGACTAGTGAGTGCTTTCAGCATTGTATCACTTGCTGAAACTTTTCAGTATGTGTTGTCAATTCCAGGTGCTTTGTTTGTAGTTAAAACCTACAATGCAAGTTGAAATCCTTTCTTTATTACCATTGGTTCTTGATCATATGCCATCTCCTAAAAATGGTGGAACACCGACCAATTCCTTTTGGTACAGTGACTGTTTCTTTCACACAGAGTCACTTTTGATGACTTCCTGCATCTTTCAATATTCTGCCCATAGAATCCTTCAATATGTTAAGTTGAGGCTTGATTTTTTTCTTCAGTTCTTTTAGTTTGGGAATTCTCAGCACATCCTTCCCTTTTCATTTTCCAACTCCACGTCTTTGCAAAATTCATGATAATACTTGATTTTGTCTTCTCAAGGTGCCCTTTGAAATTTTCGGTTTAACTCTTACTCCTTCATTTCTTCCATTTGCTTTAGCTATGCTGGAGAGTAAATTTCAGGGTCTCTTCCGACATCCACTTTGGTCATTTCTTTCTTTCCTGTCTTTTTAAATGACCTATTGCTTTCTTCATGTCTGATGATCTTGATGTCATCTCACAACTCCTTTGTTCTTTGGTCATTAGCTGTCAATACATCAATGTGTTCTTGAAATGGCTGCTAAATTCAGGTGGGATATATTCCAGGTTGTAGTTTGGTTATTTTGGGCTTGCACTTTTTTGGGGGTATTTGTTTTAAATTTCTTTAGTTGCAGCCTGAACTTGCATATGAGCAATTGATACGATCTGTTCCACAGTTAACCCCTTGATTTGTATTGGCTGATGATATTGAGCTTTTCTTCCCACAGATGTAGTCAATTTTTCCATCTGGTGAGATTGACGTGTTTAGTGCCATTTATGTTTTTGAAAAAGAATTTGCAATGAACAAGTAGTTAATCTTGCAAAAGCCTTTCATGTGATCTCCAGCTATTTCTATCATCAAGGCTATATTTTCCAAATACAAATCCCACCTCTTTGTTTCCAACTTTTGCATTCTATTTAGCAGTAATTATCAATGCAGCTCGGTTGCATATTTGTCAATTTCAGACTGAAGAAGTTGATAGAATGCTTTCATTCAATTTCATCATTGTCTTTAGTGGTTGGTGTGGTAATTTTATAATAGTTGCATAAACTTGTCTTCCTTGGGGGGTGGGGGGGGCGGTTGTATACCATGGTGCCAACTCATAGGGTTTCCGAGACTTTAAATCTCTAAGGGAGCAGAAAGCCTCATCTTTCTTCTCGGAAACAGATGGTAGTTTTGAACTGCTGACCTTGAGGTTGTTAACAGTCTGATTTGTAACCACTATGGTATCATGTTGATAGAATGCTTCAATTTCTTCATCACTGGTTTTAGTAGTTGGTGTGGTAACTTTAATAATAGTTGTATAAATTTGTCATTCTTGTAGGCATATAGATATTAACTTATCACAGACAGCATTGTACATGAAGATAGTTCTTGAAAAATTTTCTTTGATGATGAATGTGACATCAAGTCTTGTGAATTTGTTATACATGAAACAGCAAACCATATGATTATCTGATTCAAAATGGCCAATACCTGTCCATTTCAGCTCACTAATGCCTAGGGTGTCAATCTTTATTTGTTTTATTTCATTTTTGACAATTTCCAACTTTCCTAAATTCATAATTCATATATTCGATCTTCAGATTATTATTGGGTGTTTGCAACTGTTTCTTTTCTTTATGAGTTGTGCTCCATCATGAAATGAAAGTGCCAAAAGATTTCAACAATCTATATCATTAAGGTCGACTCTACTTTCAGGAGGCATCTCTTTCTCAGTCTTATTTTGATTATTTTCCAGTATCACACAGTGTTTTCCTGCTACTCATAAAGTTTTCAGTGGCTAAACTCTCAGAAGAGGATTACCTATTCCTTCTTCCTAAAGGTAGGGTTAGAGAGATGGAAACATTGCCTTCAGATGTGTATAGACCTAGATGGATGATATGTTGATAAACAAGTTTCACATTTTTATATTTTTGTTTAATAAAGATTTCTATGATTTTGTAGTGATTTATTTTTACTTTCCTTCATATAACAGTTTTCATTCTATGTACATTTATCATTATCATTATATAGTCTTTACCACTTTTCTTCAAAAATGTTTTAACTTTAATATTTAGTGTTTATCAAATAGTATTTTGTTGTAAAATTTAACATTATCCAGATAATTTTTTTCAAGATAAAAGAAAATTAGATGTTTTCATCAATGGAAAGAAAGTTATTGGCCAACTGATGTGCTCATATATGCAATTCTAGTCTCATTCACTTTCACTAAAACCTGTCTTCAACCTTCTGCTAACGTGAACTTTCAAATCTGATCCACTTACCCATTTACTTTAATCCTTCAACTTCTTGATTTGTCCATAGAAAGGAATCCAAACTCTCTACACAGCACATAAAGCTTGCCATGATCTGGCTTCTTCATACCTCCTCAAATGCATCTCTCACTGCATTCTCTTGCCCACATCACTGTGTGATCACTTAACATTCAAAAGCAAAGTTTCCCAAAACTTTCATTCTTTTTCACATAACATTTTTCATTTGTTTGCAAAGTACTTGTCTACCTTTAGCTTTCTACTTTGAAGAAAATCTATTAATTGCTCATGACTCTTTTTAACATACAGTTCATTTAAAGAAGAAAGACTTACACTTTTCTTTACCCACATTTCCCTTTTCTCCCTTTAGGAATAATCATGTTTTGCTATTTGCACACTGCATATTTTCTGAGTGGCAACTGCAACACTCTCATCTCCTTAAGACCAAAGTCTATCTCATGTGTTATGCTATCAAAGACCAAGGGCAGGCATTTATGCCAGGCTCTGGTAGTGTAGTGGATTGTGAACTGGGTTGGTAACCACAAGGTCAGTAATTCGAAAAATGAGGCTTTCAGCTCCCATAAAGATTTATAGCCTTGGAAACTCTATACAGGGTCGCTGTGAGTTGGAACCAACTTGGTGGCACACAAGCACCACCACAAGTAAAGGTATTTGTTGTTGTTACTGTTGTTGTCAAGTACCATCGAGTCGGTTCCAACCCACAGCAACCCTGCATTTGGTTTCCAAGGAGTAGCTGATGAGCTAAGAGTTACCAATTTTACAGTTCAAACTGACTTTGAAATCCAGAGTATTAACCCAGAGGAAAAGAAGCTCTTACCTGTTTCAGCTGCTCCGTTTCCAGAAATGGTGCTTTGCTTACAATTTCCGGTTTAGAGGGCTGCTCTAAAGTTAAGTAAATAAAAAGATTTTTAGAGCAAATAGGGATGTGGGGTGGATTACAGTCTGTGATTTGATATAGGGCATAATAATTCATAATAATATAAAGCAGAAAAATAAGCAACAGAATAATGATTTCCTAAATAATCTGTAAATTGGAAATCTCATTACTCTACCCCCGCTAATTATTTGCTTGATTGTTTTATATATTATTTAAGTACTTATCATTCCTTTGAATAAAATACCTGTGATGCCTTCTCAATGTTTTATAGGTAGCAAAAATAAATTTGATAGTGAAACAGAAGTAAAAATATAGTACTAAAAAGACATTATTTTCTCCTGTTGATTACCACATATATTTTCTACTTATCAATAACTTGTAACTCACTAGGCAAAAGCCTTAATCTATATGAATCAGAATCTATTTAAAATACAGATTTGTGAGCTCCACCTCGCCTGCTGAATCAGAATATCTGTAGAAAAATCCTAGTAATCTACAATTTTTTAAAAAACAAATTCCCAAGGAAAGTCTTGACCACACTGAAGTTTAAGAATCACTGATACAAAAATCATGGGAAATAGAAACTTAATTAAAGGATGTAGAAGCTCAAGTCCAAACCATATCTTTAAAGCCAACTCAGATTAAGAAGCTATAAATGTGAGGAAATTATTGAAATTCAGAATCTGAGATAGAACGTAGAGAAGTGTTTTAAATATTAGTTAGAAATTCTGTAGGCATAAGTTTTAAGTTGTTTTCAGTTTCTAGTTTTCTATCATTCATAGATTTTTCACTTTTTAATTAACTTAAGCAATTAATGAAGAGAAAATGTATATTGCCTTATTGTCATTCATTTTTATGAGTCCATGGAGCAGTATTCTACTCTGCTCATATAAAGAAATAAAAATAAGCCAAATGTGGATGATCTGAACTTGACTAGAGGAAGAAAGACGAGGAGAAAAGGTGTAATCTGCTACAATTTGATAAACATGACCTATACTTATGGATGTAGTAGCTTAAAAGAGGGAACAAATCTTCACAGCAAGGATCATTCCCACCCCCCTCTGTACACAGGGTTGACAGGGATGGGCAACTTAGCCATTGGCTACCTAAAATGGGGGGCTTTAAAGGCACAAAGTGACTGGCTTACAAGTGTTCAAGAGGGAGCTGAGTTTCAGAGGGTGTAGAAGAAGGTAGACTCTTCAGTGAGTGGTTTTCAACCTGTCTAGATGGGGCTGTTGAAAGGAGATGGGGATAAGACTCTAGTGGTTCAATAGTGAATAATTGTTATCCAGACTGATGGCCATTGTTGCAAATGTAAAGGTAGATGTTTTGTAACAAAAGGAGGGGAGTGGTTGATCTTGCAGTCCAGGAGTGGAAGTCCCTGGGACCATCAAGGGAAAATAGTGGAGTGAAGGACCCTATCCAGAGATGCCAGAGATGGAGGCAGAAACTATGATATGGAGAGATGGAGCAGCTGGGGCCTCTAAACTCAAGAAGGAAGAAGGGCTGTGTGCTGGCAGCTAGAGGCAGGCTTGCAGGGTATGCCATTTGATTGTTTGAATGATTATATATTCCTGAGGGCTTCAGTGTATACCCAAAAAAATAATAAAATAAAATAAGAAGTAGAATAAAATGCTATTGAATGATGATGCATGGAGGGGAATGTAGTCATTGCAATAAAATGAAATACGATAGGATGAGTGTAAAATCTCATGTTTTCCCATGTAAATGATCACTCAATTCACAATAAAAACTTAAAAACAAAAATAAACAAACAAAAAAACAAAGCCAAACATTCTTTCTTTTGGAGTCTTGTTGTTTACCAACTCAGTACTTATAATTTTGTTTAACAAATGAAACAAAATTGCCTTTTATATAGTTGTTATTCAATTTTGAATTCAATTATAAGACATGTTATACCTACTCAGAGCATTATAAAAAACTAGGAAGAAGATTAAAATGTTTTTGTATCAACAAAATGTATAGCATGTGCACTGATGCTAAAAAACCACAACCTTCTTTAGATGAATATTTAGAACTACTTTCCCTTTGGGAAATATGTGCTATATCAGAAATTAGAATAATAAATTATAATAACTCTAACTGTATGTTGAACTCATACATTTTAATTATAATTGGACATATTTAGTATTCTAGAAATATGAAGACAATTCTATCAATATAATTTTGCAAGGTGAATTTCTAGTTTTAAATACATAGCTTATAAATAAAATATAATAAAGATAGAAAAATGGATAAAACATCAAAACACTGAGAAACAGAAAGGGACAAAAGAGACAACTACCTTAACTATCAAGAAATGACACCTGACTACCTGATTGTTAAGAAAGTGAAAGAAACATTATTAAAATTGAACCCCAATTCCAAAAACCCCAAATTGAAAATAAACAACAGTTTCTAAGTAATATGTGGTGTGGAGATGAATGTATCTCACATACTAATAAGGTTTTTGATATCACTATATGAAAAGTCAATGTTCATAATAACAACTGACATATTGATAAACAATTGAATTACCTTAAAAATTCGTGCCTCAAATACATTTGAGAGAGGATTGCATCGATAAGAATGAAAATTATTCATGCTTAAATAATTGAAATCGGAGTTTAGTAACCAACTCTGAGATCTCAAGAGAGGTAAGATATTAAGTTAATTTCGGTGGACCATCAAAAAGTCCAAGTAAACAAAGAGAAAGAAGAATTGATGCTTAACTTCTCCTTTAGCAGTATCTACAGTGGTTATGAACCGGGCTGTAAACCGCAAGGTCAGCAGTTCGAAACTACCAGCTGTTCCGCGGGAGAAAGATGAGGCTTTCTGCTCCCGTAAAGATTTACAGCCTCGGGAACCCTGTACAGGGTCGCTATGAGTCGGAACCGACTCCACGGCACACAACAACAACAACAACCCTTAGAATATACAGAGAGATTTGAAAAATCCAGAAAAAAATAATACGCTTTAAATACAAAGAGTTGATGGACAGTTTTAACTAGTTGCATTAATCTCTAGCCCACCAAATTCATACAAGTGTCTCTTAAAATGTTCATGGAAAATTCCATTATCTTTTTTTTTTTTTTTTTTTTAAGGTTTTTATTGTGGATTGATCATCAGTTTTACATTCAACAAATCATACACCTTGTTTCATTACAACGGTTATAATCCTCTCCATGTACCATCGGTTAACAGCATTTCTCTCTATCCACTTTAGCTTTTTAAAAACAAACAAACAAACAACCACTCAGGCATATATTATAATTTACATCTCCCAAAGGCACATTTTGCAATTCTGCTCCTGGCCACCAGCTCTGAGTCCATGAATCTAGAGTCTTCAGCCACTCCCCCCTCTCCATTACCTTTTGATACCACTTTTGAAGGGCTTTTAAAAAACACTCACTCATATATCAAAATAGGCACATCTTCACTTCCTTTTGCATAGCCTGTGTTACCACTTTGCTTTAAAAATCTTGTGATATTTTATCAATGTGCACATGATTAGTAACAGTGTTGTAATCATTGGTCTTTTGGCTCATACAATCTTTGGTCCACATCTATTTTCTAAAATTTTTTTTTTTAACCTCAATATAAAGAAACTGTAATAAAGTTAAAGAAATGTGGTTTTGAAATTCTTAAAGTGAAGTCCTCTTTACATTGTTATTCTTATTCTTATTTGGAATATAGATTCACAGTGATTATTGTAGAAATAATGGTAGTACCTATTGTGTTTGCTTGAGTTATTTTCTCCTTAAGCCTTTGTCTCAAACTCTCCATATTAACTACATATTTTGTATGTAATTTTCTCTTATATTAGATTGTAACAATCAATGGGTATTAGTTTGAGGATCATAAAAGAAGACACGTACTATTTTAGCAAAATTGCATATTGATTTTAGTGTTTTTTTTTTTTTTAAGCTTAATGGGAATTACGTCTGAACATGACTGAAGAATTCATAACCAAATACAGAATTGAAAGGGAAAATTATGACATAAATTTATTTGCATTATTAAAGTAATCTAGTCAAGGGTACCAATTTAAGTCAAATTTTGTTTCTGAACATTCATGACTAAGTTCCTCTAAAATCACTTCAACAGAACACATTATCAAGTGGTAGAACAACACCTTATTTCATTTCTTCTTCCTTGCTGACATGGCTATCTTAATTGAAGTACTTAGGAGCTACTTTATCACAGGGCCACATTGTAGTAGTTTAAAATTAGATAATGATGCTAAGTGCCATTGAGTCATTTCTGACTCACAGTGTGTACAGTTTTCAAAGCTGTAAATCTTTGTCTGAGCAGACAGCCTCATCTTTCTCCCATGGAGCAGCTGTGAGCTCAAACAACTTACTATGTGGTTCATAGTCCAGTACTTATCCTACAGAGCCATTACATTTACAAACAATTAAGAGAATAAAATTATTAAAAATATCTTTGTTGTTGTTGTTAGGTGCCATCGAATCGGTACCGTCCCATAGCAATCTTATGCAAAGCAGAACGAAACACTGCCCGATCCTTGGCCAACCTCACTACTAAAATATCTTAGGCTCGTTTTAACCCTGATCACAAGGTGTGTTTGTGTGTGTACATGTTACATAAGTGGGTGGAGCAGGTAATGTTTGTGTTGAGGGAGTGGGCAACTGACATCCAGACTTCATTTCTTGCTATAGCAATAGTTTACACTGCCAAGACTCAAATTATTACTATATATTTTTTTAACCAAATACATTTTAGGGTTTATACTACTATCCTTGGAGGTCTTACCATATAGAATTAAAGTTAGCCTATGTTTAGTATTAGGAGTGCGGTGGCTCCATAGGATAAGAACTGGATTGTGAACCACAAGCTTGGTGGTTTGAGCCCACCAGCTGCTCCATGGTAGAACGATAGGTTTTCTGCTTCCACAAAGATTGATAGCCTTGGCAACCCTTCCGGGATCACAATGCTTAGAACTGACTCAATGTCATTTAACAATAACAGCAACAAATTTAAT